TGAAGTATTTTCATCGGGTGCATCATAACGAAGCTGGCGTGTTGCATCGTACTGTAGCTGTGACAGACTTGCTACCCGTTGCTGGCGGCAATGACAACGAGGCTAAGCGAGCAAATTTACAGCTTGAGGATCTTTTGAGGGACTTTGGCGATGTTGATATTCACTAATCGTAACCCTTTAGTCGGAAGATGGCGCTCTTGCTTGTGAGTAATCAGAAAGACATGTTCACAGTCTAAACTAGACCAGATGAGTTATCAATAGTGCTCTAAAGTTGGCTTGGTGCGAAAAAAGTTTCATTCCTACAGTCTTTCAGAGTAGAAGGATGCTAATTTACATTCATTTTACCATGTTGAGTATTCTTGCCCGCCAGTAAACCATCAAAGTAGCTTACAGGCCGGCCGCTGTACCCTGCGTCGCTCGTATGTAGCACTCCTGACTCAGCCAGATGTGAGTCAAGCAAGCCTCTTCTTTACACGCACACACACGTGTCTTCTGATGATTACAAGGAATGCCTGAAGGCGGGACGACCATTGCTGCTGTGGAATGGGAAGCAAACACCCGGCAATGGCGAAATGCAAGTACTTCGGTTCCCCGTCGCGGGCTTCACTAACATCAGCAGACTCCCTGTCCATAGCCCCGCTGTGAACTTCGCGGCTGGAGCAATCGATTAAAGTGACCGCGTCCTTTGGTAGGATCGGATCTCAATACCGGCTACTAATTCACTTGCCCACCGCCGACGATTTATATACATTTCCCACTCGACATTATAGGGTCCGTAGGCTCGTCTTCGTCCGATGTCTGACAGTTGGGGGCGAATTGCACGGGGCCCTGCACGTCTCCGACTGCTCACCGGCGCGGGAGATGCATCTCGAGACTAATCAGTGTCAGAATCCTGCTGGCCTTGAAAGCTATCTGCATTCCTTGACCAGTCGTCATGATTGGTCTATGTTTCCGGATGCATGAGATACAACGAACTCCCTCGTCAGTTCTCGCAACTCGCTCTAGGAGCCTCACGCGCCTTCCAGTCCGTTAGCTCTCTACCACTTTCTACGGTCCCCCTTCTTCAAAGGCTATGTGAACACGTGCTAGTCTAGCAATCTGACACCCGGCATCATCTAAAGATATTTAGCGCCGGAGATACAGTATTGAATTATTGACTTGGAGTGTTGTGACAAGTGGTGAGTATGTCAAACACAATGAAATACTGGCCATACCCCAATCGAGCATGCACTGGCGCGTGGCCTTCATCCCATTTCAGGCGAACGCTACACTGGCTGCCAAGACGCGCACCACGGGCGGCTGGCGTGTGCGACTGGTGTATTCTTTGGAGGTGCCAGCTCCCTGTCTTGTACCTTCACCTGAAGCGGTTGCAATGTACACGCATGCACAAGAAGAGTGCCCTTTGATGCTCTGGCACAGAACTGTGTTGCATAACTCTGACAGTATGAGCTACTTGATGCTCCCACAGTGTGCAGCTGGCGTGTGTGACTAGTGTAGAAGAAATCCTTATCTCGCCTGCCGTCATGTACACCTGTCGCCGGGCAGGCGTTTCTCCATGTGGCGAGGTTACACCAAACGACTGGACCATACGACTGGACCAAACGACTGGCTGCCATATACTACTTCGAGCAAACGGGCATCCTCTGCCCAAGTGAGGCATCACCACCCACGTGCCTCGCGGCGATAGGCCCAGCGTTTAGCAACAACGCCATTTAGTTTGGCATCTCTATCGCCTTACAGGCGCTGTATAGGCTTGAACTCTTGGTAGTCTTGCCCGTGAGTGTACATTATGCCAGTTCTCTTTGCCACTTTCCACCTATGTAAATGCGATCGTGGTGGGGGGAGGCGGAAGGCGGCTTTCAGTGTGGCTAACAATCAATCAAGTTCAATTTCGGCTTTCAAACTTGACTGATTGAACGTGTCACGGCTCGATTGAAGCTTGACTTGACCATGGAGCGAGCTCGATTGACAACTTGTCAAGTACTTGATATACTATGCCTAATCGGGTAATTCATAGAGACCTTGCGGTGTAGCAATCCTCTGCAAGATATTGGAGGCAATCCAATTCTTCTGCATCATCTCAGCTTCAACTGTATCATCACCGAGGCCATTGCGCTTGTCGGTGATGAGTTCACCACCGTCTGAAAATACACGCTCTGGCTCTGCACTCATTGCTGGCGTGCTGAAGATGTTAAGAGCAAGCTTGCTGAGAACAGGCCACACGTGGCCTCGGTCCACCCACCACGCTAGAGGGTTCTTAACGCTCATCTCATCCTTCGAGGGCACCTGCTTTACCCATATCTCCCACTCAGTCTCCACCTTCCTCCTCTTGCCACGGTGTGGTCGATCAGTTGTATGGCCCCAGGCGTCAAATTCATCATCGCTCGTCGGCGAGGAAGAAGGAGAGGTCTCTGCTTGGTCGACGTGCTCAGTGGCCACCGTGGCTGCAGCGAAGCGGTCGTAATATACATTGAGCTCCTTTTTTGCTGTCTTTATCCACTCCTCTCGTTTCCACCACTTCTCCCTGAAGTATTCGAATTGGTAGGCCGGGTGGAGGGCGATGGCCATGCGGTAGATTGGAGACTGGTCCGTAAGCTCATAGTACGCGTTGATCTTTGACCATGCAGCGAGCACGCCAGCAGAGTAGTAGGGAGGAAGAGCACCCTCGCTATCCGCGTCCATGATGTCAATCTCTTCTTTAACGCTCTCAAGCTTTGTGAGCAGAAAGTCCATGGCATAGAGAACTTGCCACACAGAACCTTGACCACCCTCGTTGCCCTCGCTCTCTGCCCGACCCTGCAGTCGCTTCGTCAGTCGTTCGAACGGTTGCAAGAGTGTATAGAAAAGCTCAAGCTCCTGCCAGTCAGCCTCGGCGAGAAAGTCGTTCTCGTGCCTGTCGTTTTTATCTGGAGACCTCCATTGCGCCTGGTAGAGATCGATAGCAGGGCGACACTTAAGAGCACGCTCAATCATGTAATTCGAGGGTAAGGAACGCTGTAACGCCTCGAGGCATTTGGCGTTATCTCCGGCGTTATCCATGACGAAGGAGCCGAGCTTCTCGCCGATGCCGTACTGCAGAATCACTGGTTTTACCAGCTCTGCGAGGTCGTTGCCAGTATGACCGCCATGACGTCGTGGAAAACCGAGGAGTAGTGTTCGAGGGTGGCCTTTGTCGTCGACGAAGTGTCCGCAGACAGCAACGTATTCTCTGCGATTGTGGGCGCGCCATCCATCGATCGATAGGTTGATCCTACTGAGTGCAGACTGCACCAATCCAATGATGAATGGCAAGCGTGCCGCCATCGGTACTGGCACGTCTTCTGATGCGACCTTGCGCCGCAAGTACCTAACGGCTACTCTCAGACAAACACGCACGTCATCACAAATTATTCGTTGATTCCTATGCTTTTGAGTACGGTGTCGTGAACGACTCGACAATGAAGTGGCAGCATATTGTAACGACAAATCCGATACCGAAGACGAAAGCAGTATACAAAGTGGTATTGTTGCTTGTTCATCTAAAATACTATTGATTAAACAGATGTAACTGGTCAGGACTCTTTAACATTCCCGAGTACATTCCCGGGATTCCCGTGCACGAGAGCTCATGCATGCTTTCATCCACATCGCTGGCAATACCTAAACCTTCTTGCACGGCTTCTGGGTTGGGAGGGATGAATTCTTGCCCATGGCCAGACGAAAACGGCGTAAAATCCATGGGTTGGTCTTCCGTATATTCGTAATCGAGCATGCTTGGATCAATAAGAGGATTGAGCGACGGTGTATTCGGAGGCGTTGCCGAGTCTCCTCCATCCGACGCAAAGTGCGAAGTGACGTCAAAAAGAACCAGTTCCCGCAGTCCTCTTTGCCGACGGGTAGCGATGTCTGCTTCAGGCAAATTCTCTAAAGGTATCTGCCACTCTGGCAAAACTTTGTTGTAGTAATAGTATGATAAAAGATCAGTGAGGACCGTGATGTCGTATTTCAAGTTTGGATGCCTCGCCGCAATGCTGGTGAACAGTGTAGCCCTATCCTCGATTTTAAGCCGTCGCGCGCTGCACACGTTAGTTGTCGTGGTCATCGCTGGAGGTAGAGAACCCACTGCTCCTTCTGGAATTCAGCTGGGAGGAGCAGCAGCACGCCAGCGCCCCCACAAGCGGTCGCCAGCTGCTCCCAGAAACTCTGCTGGTGCATGAGGGCTTTCCATTTAGCCTGCAATCTCTCCTCGACAGGCCTTCCTT